TGGCCATGAGTTTTGACCGCTATGTGGCCATCTGTAACCCCTTGCGCTATTCCTCAGTGCTCACTGATGCCCGTGTAGCCTACATAGGCATATCCATTATCATCCGCAGCTTTTGCATGGTCTTTCCATCTCCCTTCCTCCTGAAGAGGCTGCCCTTCTGCAGGGCCAATGTCCTGATCCACCCCTTCTGCTTGCACCCTGACATGATCCGCCTGCCCTGTGGAGATACCACCATCAACAGCATGTATGGCCTGTTCATTGTCATTTCTGCCTTTGGTGTAGATTCAGTGCTCATTCTTCTCTCCTATGTGCTCATTTTGCACTCTGTGTTAGCCATTGCCTCCAAGGAAGAGAGGCTCAAGACACTTAACACATGTGTATCACATATCTGTGCTGTGCTCATCTTCTACGTGCCCATGGTTAGTGTATCAATGGTCCATCGATTTGGGAAGAATGCCCCTGAGTATGTGCACAAGTTCATGTCCTTGGTCTATCTCTTTGTGCCTCCAATGCTCAATCTAATTATCTATTGCATCAAGACTAAGGAGATTCGCAAGAGGCTACACAAGATGTTTTTTGTACCTAAGCTCTGATTGGGAAATAGTTCTAGAAAATCCATGCATATTGGAGATTCTTTCTATTGTTTGTGTTGGGTTTAACAGACTAATTCTTTGGAGATTGTCAATTTCCTTCTAAACACGGAAAGACAATAGGGTGTCTGATATTACCTGGCCATAAACTATATTATGTTTCCATTACAGGCCATACCTCAAAACTTCAGGCTGCTCTATCTTGTAATTAATTATTGTAAGTTTCACAAATACATTTTTTTAATGGAAAAGGGTCTTTAATTCTAACCTTTTGTCATATTATAGTATTAATCTCTATATTTTCAAATAAATCTAAAAAATAATGATATAAACAGAGTATGATTTATACCTATACATATATAACAGTGAATTTCAGTTTTTTGAATAATTATAAAACAAAAAATAAATAGAAGAATGTAAGTCAAGGATGGGAATCAGGAATAGCATGAAGGGAAAGTAGAAGTATTGGGGACTTAAATGTAGCAAATTATATTGCATACACAGATGATTATATCAAAATGAATTACTATATTATATGCAACTAATGAACTCATAAAATATTTAAAAATAGAGGTATACATATATACCATGTTATAATTGGGGAGCATGTGACTTTAGTCCATAGGGGTCACCGATGTATTGTTAAGAGAATAGTAGTCTTGAATATCTTTAATCTTAAATATTATTTGTACAGAAAGACTTTTAAGAAAAGTATAAATTTTGAAATACGAATATTTTTACATCCTATAAAATGGAATACACATTCTTTTCTCATTTACTAAGTAAAATGAGACTCATTAATTCTGAAATTTAGAAGTTTTAAGCATGAAAAATATCTTTTGAAAGAGGCATATGCTGTCATCCCTCCTGCATGAGTAGAGGGAAGTTTCAGTTTTCTCTGGGGAGCTAAATAGCACACTAAATAGAAAGCAACAGTTGTTGGGTGATCAGTGGAATACAAATCCACGAGGTGGCAGTGCAGCTTGCCTGGAAAAATGGGCTTCTGTCCTAGGTTGAGCAGCTCACTCCAGAGATTTCAGCACATGCTGGAGCAGAGAGGGGAGCCACTGAAGAATGTCAGGAAGTTCACAGGGAATAGCAGACATGGAAAGGGAAGAATGTGCTGAAATCCATGTTAAGGAAACAGCCCAGACCACATAGGCTGGTGGACCCTTGGCAGAAATGAGCTCAGTGCTGTGAGGTTTTCACTGGGCCGTGGACAGACCATGACAAAACTCAACCTGAGGGACAATTGAGAAAGGTGGAATTGGGGCAAAAGGTTAAATTTTCACTGATATTCATTTACCTTTATTTCTTCGCAAGAAATAATTCTTGAATAACAGAGTCATATGGACTTTGTAACATGAACAAGTTCTAAATTTAAGAGAAGAATGCACTAGAATTTTCAATATACCCTTCTTGATTCCCAAATTAAGCAAACAAGAGAGAAAAAATCACACAAAATTTGAACCAAAAGTGACATCTTCAACAAAACTCAGTAATACGAATTCCTAGAGACACTGTCCCCATTTGGAAAGACTGAATCCCAACAGAACTCTGGGTACATGGCTTTGAGACTGATTGGCAAGAATGGAACAATCCTTATAGAGTTTAAGAGCTCATAGAAATGAGAGGATCATGGTCCTAAGCACTGGAAATCTCAGAAATGTTCAGCAAATGAGCACTTCCAATAGGGTAGAGCTTCAACCTGAAGGAAACCGCATGCAAAAATAAGTATACAGGCAAGGGGCAAAGAAAGCTGTGATGGTGTGGGAGAAGAACTCAGAAGAAGCAGATACAGGAAGTGCAACAACAACTCCACACATTTCTCAGGAAGCAGTCTGTAGGGTTCTAGGCTGGAACCAGGAGGGGGCAGAACAACCCTTACAACCAAAGACTCAGCTCTGACATACAGAAGTGGCCTCAGAGATGGGTGCTACTCAGAGGCAGTTGCTGTTTGCACAACTACAGAGGTAAAGTAACAGCAAAGACACTGGGAGAACTACTCTGCCACTCCCTTCCCCTCCAGGCCATCCTCCCAGTGATCTTGGAAGATCTTCATGATTTATATATTAGGACAAAAATGGAAAGAAACTAACCTATACACAGTCATGAGCAAAAATTAAAGAAGAATATCAGGGACAAAGATGAATCACATCCCTCAGTCATGATGACCATTGATATATCCTTTTTTTTTTTAAATAGCTCTTTATATTCTACCATTTAAGGATCTGTATCTTAAATTAGATATTTCTGAGTCCATTATTTTTTAGGCTTTTGAAAAAGTTCAACTTAGTCTCAACTACATATTTGAGAAGTCACATCAAAAGCATGCAGATTGGAAGGTTGAGCACTTGTGCAACAATAAAAGATATTTCTAGCATCTCTAAAAACTTATTCTCTCTTTTGCTGCTGCCTTACAACTGTGGACCAGTACCCTATTTAGAGACTGGTTAAATGAACATTTTTCTTTCTGAGATAATTTATATTTGTTCAAATTGTTAAAATTATATTTTCTGTAGTGTATCAACTTCTTTTGGGTAGAAAAGGAAGGTATTTTACCTCCAGAATTACTACCACTCCCCCAATAAAATTCTCCACACTGTTTTACAATTGGGGTTGTTTCAAGGACAGTCATCAATATTTCTGGCAGAAGGAGTAAATGTGTTCAGTTGATAAAAGAGTAGTGGATATTTTCCTCATGAGGACTGCTCTTGCTGAACCTAACCTCACTCAGAAGATAAACTTTCTGTGGCCAGCTTTTAATTACTGCTTTGTAAAACTATGGCTGGGAGGAGAGCACTTCTCATCCAGCTCAACTGTCACTGAAGCAGCAAAGTCATGTTTTCCTAGCAGAGCTCATCAGATCTGGAGGTTAGTTCTTTGGAGTGGCACAAGACTTCTCTGTGGTATTCGGAAGATGAGATTCATGGTCAGCCATACTTATGGACCTGGACATTACCTTCTTCTTCCAATCACTACTTTCTGAAGATGGTCCCACTTCCTGAGTTCATACTAATTAATTGGACTGAACCCCAAGCAAATGGATTTGCATTTTTCCATTTTTTAAATATGTTCTAATTATCTTAGTCCTTTTATTAATCTTGTCTTTGGGACACAGCCTCCTATTTCCCCACAGCAAGACTCAAATAATTCATGATAGCCTGAGACAAAATTAAGGACTGAGAATGAGAATGTATATTTTTGGATTTAAAAAGGAAATAATCGAGCAAAAATTCTTCACTAGATTCTGGCACATGTAAACTTAGGCCAAAATAGTTAACTTGAGGCTCTAAATAAGGTAATGGTCCATATTTGTAAGACAGAGTCAAGTTAATTGTTGGGTTTTTTTTTTATAGTTTTATTTTTTTAAAATTTTGTTTTTTTTACTTATAGTTGAACAAAATACCTTTATTTTATTCATTTATTTTATGTGGTGCTGAGGATTGAAGCCAATGCCTTGCATGTGCTAGGTGAGCACTCTACCGCTGAGGTACAACCCCAGCCCCCAAGTTATCTGTTTTGTTTTCGCCATGTTAATATGTGCCAGAATTTAGTGAGAAGTTTTTGTTCATTTCCTTTTTTTTTTTTTTACATCCAAAATTAAACATTCTCATTCTCAGTCCTTGATTGTGTCCTATTATCTTGCTATTATTCTTAAGGTGAACCATCACAGCAAACTACCTGTTATTATAGAAACACTTTCATACTTGGGAAGGGGTTTTCCCTCTCAAATTTATGTCTAAGATATGTTAAAATTACATGCGCACACACACACTCACATACACACACTCACACAATAAATACTACTCACCACTATTTTTTTTATATGCCACATGCAATGAACCGAAGATAAATGTAATTATTAAAAATTATATTAAATGATTTAATTTAAAGTAATATTAATACTTGTTAAAGTTTGCCGCAGTCTGGCTGGGCACAAAATCACGAGCCACTCAAGCAGGAACAAAGTTTTTATTTTTTGAAACTGCCGCCAATGTCCGGTACACCCCCACACCCCCCCCCACCCCCCCCACCCCCCCACCCCACCCCCCCCCCACTCCCGAGGATTTTTTCCACCCACGCGGCCTCCATATGAATCCAAATCTTAACATAATCATATCATCTCAATGGCTAGCTGGCGTCACCTTTCGACCAAAAATGCCATGCATCATATACTTGGCTCTTAGCAAAAGTTTATATTATACTTCAAAAGGCATTTTCTTAAGTTCGGTACATTTATTTTCTTATGTATTTCTTACCATAACATGAAGAGTTAGATGCTTCATTATTCCCACATATCAGGAGTCAGACTGAGGGACAGAGACATTTAATGCCATGCTTAAGGTCACAAATGTGGTAAGAAGAGGAGCCAGGATTCAAACCTAGGCATTCCAAATTCACATTCTATGCCCTGAACTGAAACCAAATAAGTAGAATTCTGCTTCAAATTCACTCTAAACACCTTTTTCTTTGACTTTGAACTCATGAAGGAAGTTATTCTCATGAAACTGTCTCCTCTTATGATCAGGGACTAACTTGCTCCTTAGTAGTTCATAGCCAGTGTTGAGACAGCAGTGAAAATATGATCATCTTTCAGGCCTATTCTGAGTTCCTCAAGGAGCAGTGGGAATGCAACATGTTCATTGTGATAAATAGTACCTCCATGTCATCTGGCTCATCCTGTTCCTCCCAGAGCTTACAGACAATTAAACTTAGTCTTGTCATATCATAGATCCCCATGCATGCAAATGAATCTGAAAAGTGATCCTACCCATTTATTTTTCTTATTTCCAATTGTCTTTCTTATCTCTTCGGTTTGGAATTCATATTGAGATCTTCCTCAAGTAAAGCAATCTTAGAAGTCGACTCCGAATCTCCTTGGTTCTAGCTCCATAGATAATGGGATTGAGTACAGGAGGCACCAGCACATAGAGATTTGCCAGAAAGATGTGCACATGCTTGGGAACTCGGTTGTGACCAAAGCGGTGGGTGAGGAAGGA